TGCGTCCCATCCGCCCAGAGCCCCACCGTCCCTCGGCCTGGGTGACCCGTGCGGTGGCCGACGCGGGGCAGGGTGTGGATCGCCACCCGGCTGGACCCTGCCCGCCTCTCTCGCCTCGTCTCCCGTCCTCCGCGGAGGCCAGCTGCCTCCACCCCGGGAGGCCACCCGATCAAGGGGACCACGGAATGGGTTTCTGAGGAAGACACTGCAGGAGCAGGTAACTAGGTTCTGTCGCTGTCCCCGGGCAGGACAACTTCTCCCCCAGGAGGACCTGCCTCAGTGCCCAACAGGAGGGCTCCGAGCCTGTGGGCAGGTGGCGCCTGGGGACACGGAGTCACAGAACCTTCATGCCAGTGGGCAGACTGGGGCTGGAGTCCCCGCTTGGCCGTGCTGGGAATGACTGGAGGTCTTTGATGTGGCTCTGCAGGGAGCTCAGGGGCCCGAGGCAGGGGCATGGCTGAGATGACCGTCTGTAGAAATCAGCCTCCAAGAATCAGGGGCTCCATCGCCTGGGTCCTGGGCATCGGTGCCAGGCCACAGTGGGCACAGGGGCAGAGACTGCAGCCTCCCCGGCCGTTTTGGCGGGCAGAGATGTCAGCCAGGGCGTCTGTGTTTTGTCACCTGCATTTTATCTCATCCTTCAAAACGCGGCTGGGCGCCCATTTCACAGGAAATGAAACCTGGAGACGGAGGACGATTTTCCTTTGGGCCTCAACTAGGAGGTGGGCAGTCAAACCAGGTGACCCCGCGGCCCTCTCCTGGTCTTTATTATGAAGCCCGGGGGTGGGTCAGATGATAAGAGGCCACTCCTCTTGTGTGTGGAGGAGGGGGAGTGAGGAGCTGAGTGACCGGGTGGAGAGCCACAGGGGAGCCAGGTGTGGGTAAGGACTCAGGACACTCAGCAGGGGTGGCAGTGTCTGCCCAGCAGGAGCCCAGGGGGTTGAGAGCACGTGGTGACTGGGGAAAACCTGCCGGAGAGTCTGGCCATGTGCCTTCCCAGGCTGGTGAGCTCAGGCAAATCTCCGCTTGGTCACATGTGTAACACGGGGACACGGGGGGCTGTCTGTCAGGACTCAAGGTCATAGCAAGGTGACCTTTCAGAGAGGGAGTTGGTACCATGAGGAACCCTGAGCCATGGCGGGAGGAGCCGGACCCCCGAGTGGCAGAGGGTGTGGGGACGTCCCCGACACAGCAGCCCTGCCTGCCTGGCCCTCCCAGGACTCGACCTCCCCCGACCCTCAGGGGACCCAGCCATCTCACAGATGGCAAGACTGAGGCTCCGCGGGGACGTCTTTGCCCCGGTTCACTGTGACCAGGAAATACCCAGCTCAGAGCACACAACAGCAAGGTCACCCCCCGTGGGACAGGGTGACAGGAAAAGAAGATTCACGTCGCAGGGCACCTTCTGAGAAGGGCCACCCCATCAGGACCGCTGGGCATCCATTCCGGGGGTGGGCCGTGGCCAGGTGGGGACCCTGGTCCTGCGGGAGCCTGGCCTGCCCCTCCCTGGGGGTGTCGGGGTCTTTGTCGGCCCCACAGAGGGGCTCAGGAGAGCAAGACCCAGGCTGAGCCTGAGCCCACGGCTCCGCCTCCCCAGCCAGGTCGCCCGGGTCCCCAGGAGGAGAGAGGGAGGGCGGGCCACCGCCTTGGGGTGACCAGGGGCGGGGACGCTGGCGGTGCCAGGCTGCGGAGACCTGCAGGAGAGGAGAGCAGCCTCCGGAGGCTGAGGGGGGTCCCTGTGGTCACTGGGGGCGCTGAGCTGACTCACGGGTACGCGGCTGACCGTGATTTGGGAATCAGAAGGAACCGGGTTCAAATCCCAGCTCTCCCACTTAGTGCTCGTGGGACCTAAGTGTCCCTGTGACCTCTCTGAACCCCAGTTGCTTGTCTGTGATAGGAGGAAATGTCTGTAAGAACAGGAACCAGAGCACCCCGCTCAGGTTGGCCGTGAGAATTTGTTCAGAGGGTTTTTACTGAGCACATACTATGGGGTCAGACACCTGCCCGGGTCCTGGGCGTGGTAACACAGCCAAAGCCAGCGAGCACACAGGCTCTGATGAGGAGCAGGTGCTTAGGACCAACAGGTTTTACTCTTTTTTTGGGGGGGGGGCAGAGGGGTCCTGGGGATGGAACCCAGAGGTGCTTCACCACTGAGCCACATTCCCAGCCCTTTAAAATTTTTTTTTTCTTTTAGGCAGGTCTCACGACATTGTGTAGGGTCAGACTTAGTTGCTGAGGCTGGTCTCGAACTTGCGATCCTCCTGCCTCGGCCTCCTGAGTCCCACTGGGTGGTTTTACTTTAATACTATCGATGATAACCTCTGCGACTGTTACCTGGCGTAGAGTCTGGCATGCTCTGAGTTGGACAAGGACAGCTCTTTTGGGGATGGTGCCCCCACTGCACAGATGGGGAAGCTGAGGCCCAGAGAGGGGGGAGGGGTTTCCAGGGCCACCCGGGAGCCATCTTGCGTGTGGGAACTCACACCTTCCTGAGGAAGGGGGTCCTTCTGCTCCGCGCCCCCTTCCCCACGGGCTCTCCAGGGCCCCAGAAACCCGAGGGGGAGGGGCAGGAGTGGGAGGAGCACCCTCCCCCACGGCTCCTGGGTGCCACCACCCCCACTCCCTGCCCTGGGCCTCTGCCAAAGGGACTTTTCACGACAGCTCAAACGAGAGTGCTGAGTGAACTTGGAACTTCTGAGACAACCTGAGAATATTCCCCAGGTCGCAGCAGGGGCCCTCAATGGGGGGCCAGGCTGCTGGTCCCTGCAGCCCTCAAGAAGGGTCCAGCCACCCCAATGGTCCCCAGGGAGGCAGGTGCACCAGCCCTTCCTTGCTGTGTGACCACAGCAGAAGCTCTGGGCCTCTCTGGGCTTCAATTTCCTCATCTGCCAAGCAGCTGCCGGCTCTCTCCAGGGTGAATTAGCGACACCCAGTCTCCTGCCTGGTTACTGCCCAGGAGCACCTGGTCCTGCCCTGGTTGGCCAGGAATAGGGGGCAGTTGCTCGCGGGCCCCGCCTTCCTGCCTCCAGGTCCCAGCGGCTGCGGTTGAGAGCATCCTGCAGCTGCCTCACGCCTCCCAGGGGCTGCAGGGCCTCCGGAGCTGGGAGCCGGCGCAGCCTGGGCGCGGAGGCTTCTGGGACCAGGACTCAGGCAGGGGAGGGTGCGGCCCGGGGTGCGCACCAGCTCCTGGGCCAGGGGAGTGCAGCAGGTGCTCAGGGGGAGGCCGGGAGGCTGCAGGGGGAGGCCCTTCCCCATGCACCGAGCGCTCAGGGCGAGGCCCTTGCACACCAGTCCCCAGAGGGCATGACCCAGCCGGCCAACGCCACGGGCACCCCCCAGGCTCCCCGCTCCATTAGACAGATGGGAGGCCGAGGCCCAGGAGAGCCTGAGAGGGGGACGAGGCCCACCCTGGGTTTGCAGCAGAGGCCCTTCCTGGCCCAGGGCGCCTGAGACTCTGCTCAGGTGAGAGCTTGCAGGTGAGCCCCGCCCTGCGCCGCCCTCCTCCGGAAGCTCCTGGTCACTAATCTGATGACAGCTGTCACCAGCTCTCAGACTCCGGGAGCTGAGGGAGGAGAGAGGGTGACTCTGGGGACCGGGACGAAGCTGATGTGGAAACTGCGACTTCTCAGGGCTACTCCTTACCTGCACCTACCCACCTGGCTTTCCTGAATCCCTTCTCCATCTTTCTTCTCTGCTGGTGGAGCCCGGGCTCCATTCCAGACCCCGCGCCATGCATACTGTGGGAACAGAGAGGTCAACCACCCAACCTCTGGGCGCTTGGGCTTCAGCCCAGAGACGTCCACTAAACTGAGCCTCAGATGACTATGAAGGAGATCCACAGGGATGTGTGGGCTGGGGACTGCAGAGATCACTTCTGACAGCGTGAATGGCCTCTTGGAAGAGGCGCACTGACGTTGAAATACGAGGATGGAAATGCAAAGAAGCTGGGGGAAAGCGTCCTCAGCAGAGGGAGTGGTGCGTGCAAAGGTCCTGAGGTGAGGGGAAAGGTGGAGCATATCCTCCTCAAGTACATAAGATCCGCAGGGCACTGGATTTAAGGCGGGGATGCTGAGGAGGAAACACCCTGGCTCTGGGCTTTGGCGGAGGGGTGCACTCCAGAGGAGGGGGCGACTCTCACTCCGTGGGGGCCAGAGATCAACAGAGGAGGCGACATTTGGACTGAATTTGGAGGACGGCATGGGAGGCTGCCAGGCCCAGCAGAGCAGAGGGTTCTGTGGCCAAGAGGGCACAGGCCAGGTGTCAGCACCAGGTGAGCTGCGAGCTGACCAAGCAGGTGGCACCTGGTGCGCAGCGCGTAGAGGGGACAGAAAGGTGGAGCCAGGCTGGGAACCGAGCAGCCCCAGGGCAGGTCACAAGAGGCCCTGGAAGACCCAGCGGAGCTCGCCGCCTGGGTTCTGGGTTCCCTCTCGGGAAGTCCCGCAGTGACACTTCTGCTTCCAGCCACAGTCGCCCCGGTTTACGGCCCCTCTGGGGAGTCCCTCCCCCGCCTCTTGGTCTCTTCTTGGTTCCTTTGGGAAACGGCCCGTTTTACTTTTCACCCCCACCCCTTTCACTTTCCACCCTGCGGCCCCCACCTGGGCCACCCGGATTCACTGACGCCAGGAACTGCCCCTCCCGCCGCCGGGGAGAGCGGGCGACGCGGGAAGCGGTTCCTTCCAGGTTGAGAAGCGCACGGAGGAGCCTGGGGAGCGCAGAGGACCACCTGCCCGCGCCGGCGCAGAGGGCTCCAGGGCTCTATCCGCCAGCCCTGGCACAGGGAGCGGAACGTGGAGGACACCGAGTGACAATGCACTCCCTCCAGATGGTTTTCAGCACTTGAAATATATGTCTATGAATCGGAAAAGATTCCTAAATGTGCATATACGTGATGCCATGCATATACTTCCTTTGTTCCAATTTTGGTTTCTTTTACATTTTCTTATTGGAAAAAAATTTTGTCTCATTTAAAATTTTTTTTTTAATTTCTTAGTTGTCAGTGGACATTTTTTATTTTCATTTATTTCTTTATATGCAGTGCTGAGGATCGAACCCAGTGCCTCACACCTGCTAGGAGAGCGCTGTACCCCTGAGCCACAGCCCAGCCCTGGAAATCTGGATCAACAAAAATCCTTCCTTTTAACTAAACTTACCAGTTTTTTCCTTTATGCCCAGAGCTTTCTGCACTGGGTTCACTGGTTTCCTTCTAGATGATTTAGT